CTTTCCCCACCCCCCATTGTCCTCATCCATAGGTGCACAGTTTATGTTCAGTCTTTTCCCACCCCCCCCACTCCTCTTTTCCCTGAGAATCATCAGTCCACTCCCCTTCCATACCTCTGATTCTATTATATTCAACAGTTAATATTGGTCATCAGGTGTTTTTTTTTAATTCCCTTGGTTTTTAGATTCACTTGTTGATAGTTATGTATTTGTTGTTCATAATTTTTATCTCTATTTTCTTTCTCTTCCAAAAGAATCTCCTTCAACAATTCATATAATTCTGGTTTGGCGATAATGAACTCCTTTAGCTTTTTATTTTTATTTTTTTTATTAGTGAAGCTCTTTATCTGGCCTTTGATTCTGAGTGATAGCTTTGCTGGGTAGATTATTTCTGGCTGTAGGTTCTTGCTATTCATCACCTTGAATATTTCTTGCCATTCCTATCTGGCCTGAATGGTTCCTATTGAGAAATCAGCTGACAATCGTATAGGTGCTCCTTTATAGGTAACTATCCATTTCTCTCTTGCTGCTTTTAATATTCTCTCTTTGTCTTTTGCTCTTGGAATTTTAATTATGATGTGTCTTGGTGTCTCTTTGGATTCCTTTTGTTTGGGGTTCTGTGTGCTTCCTGGACTTGTAGGTCTAATTCTTTCACCAGGTGGGGGGAGTTTTCTGTCACTATTTCTTTCAGTATGTTTTCGGTATCTTGCTCTCTCACTTCTTCTGGGACCCCCATAATTCTGATGTTGGTTCTCTTCAAGTTGTCCTAGAGGTTTCTTACATTATCTTCAACTTTCTGGATTCTCTTGCCTTCTTGCATCTGCAGAGGAGTATCTTCTTGCTCTTTATGTTACAAATCTTTGACTTGATTCTTGCGATCTTTCATTCTGTTTTTAGGACTCTATAGAATTTTTTATTTCAGACAATATATTCTTTATTTCTTGTTGATCCCTTACTATTTCTAGTTGATCCCTTTTCATATCCTCATAGGTCTTATCGACCTTTTCTAGGAAATTCTTGAAAAACCTTATAAGCGTGGTTTCTAACTCTATATCCAGTCGCTTTTTGTTCTCCATTTCTTTCATTTGTGATCTGTTTCCTTGTCTTGGCATTTTCGCAGCTTCCCTGAGTTGGTAGCCTTAAAAGTCTCTGTGTTCAGCTTGGATGGGGCGGAGTTTCAGGATGGAGCCTACAGCCTTGGCTTCCGTCAGCCATGCCTTATGAGGCTCCTGAGTCTCAGTATTCCTCAGGGTCCTTAAGTACTCGTTGCAAGCACCTCTGAGAGAAAGGTGCCCTCGAGTTTCGCCTGCTACCAAACAGTCTAGGCTCTCCCCCAATGAGCCCGGAACTGGGGTTCAGTTCAGTTGGAAGTGAGATTCAGAGCAGTCTGGAGCTTTTGTCACCTTCCCGCTAAGTTAATCCAGTGGCACAGTCAACTGCCCATTCTGTGAGCGCAATGTGCGTGCCTCCGGGACCTCCTTTCGCCGCTCCCCCGGGTTTCCACCTTACAGCACAGGCTCCCTCCGTCTGAGTCTGGGTCCCTGGGGTCTGGCCTAGAACTGGAGTTCAGTGCAGTCGGAACTGGGGCTCAGCACAGTCCGGAGCTTTTATCTCTTTCCAGCTAGGGCAATCTAGTGCAGAGTCAAGGGTCCATCCTCTGAGCATAATGTGCATGCCTCCGGGGGCCCTGCCTTTCGCCACTCCCCTGAGATTCTGCCTAATAGCCCAGGCTCCCTCTGTATGAGCCTGGGTCCCCAGGGTCTGGCCTAGAACTGGGGTTCAGTGCTGTCGGATCTGGGGTTTAGCACAGTCCTGAGCTTTTATCTCCTTCCCGCTAGGGACCGCCAGCCAGGCACTCAGCCTCCCCCTCCTCTCCAGCTCCATCCTCTCCGCACACGCGGTATGTCTCCATACCTTAGGCTTTTACAGCTTCTCTGATTTTCCTTCTGGTTTTCCCTTTCCTTCTCGTTGTAGAATTTCCAGTCAGTTGACTTTCCTGTAGTTCTGGGTAATGTCCATTTTGTATTTTAGTTGTATTTTATTGAAATTGTTGTGCGAGGCTGCAGTTAGGTGTTACCTATGCCACCATCTTGGATTTTCTCCGGCAAACAACTTATTTTTAAAAGATAAAACTGATCACCCACATTTTCAGAGTTGTCCTTGTAAAAATAGATAAAACCAGAAAATTATAAAAGTATTGGGTTCAGAAGGACTTTAGAGATTACTCCATATTGGAACCTCTGACATACCATCACTAAAAGATGTCCATCAAACTTCTTTTTAGATATTTCCAAGGGTAGGAACTCTCTGCCTCCCAATGGCCCATTCGATGGTTGCTCAGATTTAGAAGTTGGATGATCAAAACTTGAACTTATTTATTGATTCAAAGATAGGAAGGGATATTTTATGGCAAAATAGCACTTACCAAAAATATTTGGGACTATGTGTGGTTGGTGACCTCAATGAATGCAAACAGGGCCCATAACCACAGACTATGCACTAAATCTCAACTCATATGTAAGTCCTTCGTCAGTAGAGCAAACAAACAAAAAAAAATTGTATGCTGCACATAGTGTACATCTATTATCAGGACTAGAGAAATATTTACAAACAACAATCTTAAATATTGAGGATGAGGCTATGTGGTGATGATGAGGCTTTGTCACAGGAAAAGGAACTTTATCTGATTTACTTTGATTTTAGCTTTTAAGAGAACATGTGAAAATCAGGTCACTATCACTCCTTATCAGACACAAGATGGGCAGTTAATCTCTCCCATCATTTTAATAATTTCTACAAGTTTTCTTTTTTTTTTAAACCTATGCTCTAAGTCAAAAAATTATAAATTTGTGTACCTAATATAATTTTAAAACTGAAAGATTTCCAGAGGAACTATTTTCTGATTTTCTCATCTTAAAAGTAAAAAACTGAAGTGCAGAGAGAAGGAACAACTGATCCAAGGTCACAGAGCCCTTTTGAGATGGAGTCAGGACTAAATCATAGGTCTCCCTACTACTAGTAGAGTGATACTCTTCATTATTAATGATGATATGATGATTATGGAAGAGAGTGATGCTCTATAAAGGAGCTATAGAAAGTTTTATGGAATAGAGGAATGAACCAGTCTCTCCCGCCTCCTCATGCAGCAACCTATGATGTTGCTAGTGAGAATTGTTAACATGCCTTTTAAAATATCAATACACAACAAATAAATACATGACAAACACCATCTAATTATATCTGCATGAAAATATATCTAAATTATCCCTATCATAAGAACTGAAAGTTATTGAATATCTACTATGTTCCAGGCAATTTACATAACTTATTATTGCTAATCCTTCCAACAACTCTATGAGGTTAGTGTTATTATGATTGTTTTTTAGGGCAATAAAATGAGGCTCAGAAGATACATAGTCAGTGTGGAACACAATCTTCTGGCTCCAAAGCTTATGTTATTTTCCTTATAGTCACAACCTTCTCTAGATGATCTCAAACTCATTCCATGTCCTGCCCATCAAGCTCTAAACATTTTAGAAAAATTGATGCTGGTATATGCTAAACTTGAAATTTCTTTTGAAATTCCTTGACTATTCAGTTTAGTTATCAGTAACTTGGGGAAGTTTCTCCCCCACTTATTGGTATGTTCTTCATATTTAATGCATTTTACAGAAAACAAGGCAAAGTAAGACCCTAGCATCTTGTGATAACTTGCAATATTTGATATGTAAACATAAATAAATAAATAGGTAAATAAATATAACATTTTTAGAATATTTATTCACCAGACATAACTTTTAAAACTGTTATTTGTATAAAAACATATTTATGTTAAAAAACTATCCGCAAAATTAAAAATCAGAACTTTTTTTGCAATAGAGGTAGATCCAGCATTGGGTTATAATTTCTTGCATAAATAAATTCTTCCCTAATTTATTTATTTTAAAGATGTACAGTTTTATGTTTTAAGTAGAAAATAAATAGATTGATTAAAACAGTATTTGCCATACTAAGGAAATATTTATATTCTAGGTTACAGTAGCATACATATACTCATAATAGATCATGGATTATTTTTAGTTGCAATGGTCTGCTAAAGTGAAAGAAAATGTGACTGTGATTTTAGCAGAATCATTTTATTGCTGCTCCAAGTCTTGGGTGAAAGTCCATAAACATCATGATCCACTTGGCAGTTCTGCTACAGAGGACAATTATATGGCAATTTAAAGAATCAGTCCCCAAGTTGATGGAAGAACTGTCATCTCATAAGTAAAGTTGTTATCAGACACAATATGTATGATTTATACACATACTAGAGGCCCAGTGCATGAAATTCGAAATTCCTGCATGGGAAGGGAGTCTCCCTCAGCCCAACCTGCACCCTTTCCAATTTGGGACCCCTTTGGAGATGTCCAACTGCCTGTTTAGGCCTGAAAACCATCCTACGGATCAGGCCTAAACAGGCAGTTGGACATCCTTCTCACAGTCCAGGACAACTGGCTCCTAACTGCTCACCTGCCTGCCTGCCTGATCATCTCTAACTGTGCCCCCTGCCAGCTCAATCATCCCTAACTACCTCTGCCTGCCATCCTGATCACCCCTTCCACCCCCCCTCCCCTTGCTAGCCTGATCACTGGCCTGATTGTCCCCAACTGTCCCTCCCCTGCTGGCCTGGTCACACCCAACTGCCCTCCCCCTTTCCTGCCAGCCTGGTCGCCTCACACAGCCTGCTGTTCAGTTGTTTGATCATCCTTAACTAACCCCCCTGCTGTCTGGTCATTTAGGTTGTGATGGCCCCTGGCTTTTTATATACTAGGATTTCTTACCCAAGAGAAATGTAAGCATTCTCCATTTCTTCTAAAATTCACTGGGGATTCTTCAGTTCAAATAAACAATTAGAGTCAATGTAGAAGCACAATAACTTACAGGTATTAATACTTTGATCTTCAAAACTCAGTTGAGAGAAATTGTTATTCACATTTATATGCACCCAAGTTTGCCAAAGCTACTGTGTGAGGGAGCCTTTGCTCAGAATGAGGCAGTGACTCTAAGAGCAAGGGATCTTCCCCTGCAATGTTGCACTGTTTCTATTGAGCAATGGCCAGTGAGCAGGTTCTCTCCTCCCTACCCCCACACAGACACTAACCCAAGCAGCAAGGTGAAGTCTACTGTGGTAAGTGTTTGAGCAGGATCTCCGTGGTTTCTGCCACCTCAATGCCACCACCTTCCATACCAGACAGAGCTTCCTATTTTGATGGGTGAGTCATCCAGTTATTCTTGCTGAGTTAATTTCCTCTTTAAGGAGAGCCTTCTTTATGTTCAGCATCAGGGTTACCTTACTGCTCACCTCTGAATGTTTTGTTGGCCATTCCCTGAGATTGAATTATCTTCACTCTGCCAATGTTTGCTCTTCCTTAGACTTAAAAAACACCAATTTTCCTCTTACCAAAATGTAAGCTCCAAAAGACTAGGAATCATGTCTGGTTAATTCTTTATTTCTATACCATCTGTTCAGTACATAGCAGCCTTTTAATATGTTTTGAAAGAATAAATGAATGAATGATGAGTAAATGTTGAAAGAATGAGTGAATGGCTCTCCTTTGAGAGCGTTCTAGACTCAGCAATCTTTGAGACATCTGTTCTAGTACTAATCCCTCTAGTCATTAACTCAGCAAATATTCATTGATTGGCTAGTACCTGCAAGGAATGGGATGGGATGGGAAATATTTATGCTTGAAGACTTACACTTTCTTCATTCATGAATTTGTTCATTCAGTCAAAAGCTTTTATTCCTATGCTAAGAACATATAATAAGTGGAGGCATGGATATTAAAAATCATAGATTTAAATTGGAAATCTCTGGTTTCTAAATTGACTTCACCGCTTAATAGCTTGAGCAACTTTCTAAATATCACTGGACCCCTGTTTCTTAATCTGCAAAATGAGAAAAAGTATCTGTATTAATATCCTTAGCTATGAGGATTCAAGAAGATCATATATATTACGTGCTCAATAAATCTCAACAACTAACTATTATTATTTCCATGGTAAGTGAAACAAAAAGGAATTAGACATAATCACTTTTCTCAAGGAACCAATAAACTCATAAGAATATAAGTTATTTAAATATGAGGTACAAATAAAAATGCTAGGGGTGCTCAGATTTGGTAGAGATGACTTAAAACAGGAAAAGTCAGAGATGGCATCCTTCCTGGAGAAGCTGCATTAAGGAGGTTTGGACATATAGTCATGTAGGGGAGAGGCTCTCCAGGAGGTGGAAATAGCCCAACAAATAAATGGAGGTATTAAAGAACAAGCCTACATAATGAGTCACTGGACAATTAATTAATCAAAACTATGAAATACATAAGAAGGGCAGAGTCTCTCTATCCTAAAGAAAAAGTTGGAAATATCTTGGGGAGGACCTTGAAAATCAAAGAGTTTGGATTCTATCTTATGTAGACAGGTGGTTATTTGTGGATGTATGTGCATCATTCACTGGTGTCATTTTTGTTTTTAACAGTGGATGAGTATAGGGACCTATATTCATACCTTTGAGATTTTAAGTTATTTATTCCTTCATGTCTGAGAAATTAGATTACCTTCCCATATACTTTAACATCCGTCATGTCATCTGAGTAGCTCTGTGAAGTAGGCCACATGAGGAGATGAGGAAACTCGGATGGACATAAGATAACCTCCCAGTGGCAAGAGCTGTTAATTGGATGGACTGGGATATGAATAGCATAGCTTCTAATTAAAAGACTTTCTGGTCTCTGAGGCAGAAGAATGCAAATATGCAAAAGGGAAGTCAAGGCCATGCTGAGTGGCAGGGAAGAGAAATTTTGAATACAGGGGCCTCAAGTCAGGGGTTACTTTTGCCCCCACTGGCCACTTTCTTTTGCTATGACTTACCGCAATAAGTGTTCTGTAAAATAAAATCAGCTATAGATTTTTTTCTGCTCTTCTGGTCTGGCCTAGTGGGTACCTTTCTTCTGGCCTCATCCCAGGTTTCTTAAAGGGTTTCAAAAGAAATTGTTATTGACTGAACTCTGGGGTTATTTATAATGGAAATCCAGTCTCTCATTCCTCTTGTCCTCCATGGAAGAGTTGGGCTCTCAATCTGAAACTTGGGGAATTAAAGGCCCAGTTTGCTTTATTTAGCTTTTTAAAAAAAAATATATTTTACTGATTTTTTACAGAGAGGAAGGGAGAGAGATAGAGAGCCAGAAACATGGATGAGAGAGAAACATCTACCAGCCGCCTCCTGCACATCCCCAACCGGGGATGTGCCCGCAGCCAAGGTACATGCCCTGAGACCTTTCAGTCCGCAGACCGACGCTCTACCACTGAGCCAAACCGGTTCGGCATATTTAGCTTTTAGGACATTGGATTAAAAGAATTTTTTTTTTCCAAAGAGATCTAAGTTCCACTAAAGATAAAAGTACCTTATTTTCCAATGTCTTGACCAATTTAAATAACTCACCTCTTTTTCTCCATATCCTATTCTCATATTTCATGAAGTTATACACTCTTATTTCCTTAAGCAGTTGTATAAAAGGGTAATTTTGAGTCTCCCCCCTCCCCCACCACACACACACTAATTTTAAGTGCATTTATCTAATAATTTATCCAGGAGTTTGTGAGGTCAATGAAGGAGGCTCTGTGACTATGTTTTCTGTATTCTCTAGGCTTGAACAATTGTTCTTGCACACAGTAATTGCTCAATTATTTGTTGGTCAGTGAATTATCTGGTAAACCGATAAGTCTCTCTATGTAAGGTAGTACAGAGCTGCCTTTTATGGTCAATTACAGTGGATTTCTTTAGCTTAATTTTTCTTATGCTTTTCTGCCTATTTCCCACTCACTCACTCACTCCCTCACTCACTCACTCACTGGTGAGCTTTTAGCATGTTGCCTGTGTTCTACTGTACTGGATACTTTGATTGCAGACCACTCTAGAGTTTTTAAAAGTTTTATTTTGACAGATGTTATATAAAGTAATATCAGATACACCATGTACACTTATAAAAACTTGCCTTTTTTACTTAACAGTTGTGTGACCTCAGTAAAGTTACTTAGATGCTTTAAGGTTTAGTTTCCTCATCTATAAAATTGAGATAAATCATATTTTGTCTTGGTGAAAATATTGGCACAATGATATATATGCATTTATAAACTATAAGTCAATTCCCTAGATTTTGGGAAGAGGTCAGATGTTTAAAAAATACTTTACTTATGGTATGTATGCACTTATCTATATCTTACCTATTTAATCAATTTTTTGAAAAGGCTTATAATAGTGTAAACAGTATCATTATTAACATTTGGATTAAGAAAAACATAAGTAATTTATTGTATCAAAACCAAATAATTATATTGTGTTGTTTTTTTGTTTGTTTGTTTTGTTTTTAACAGACTGTACCTGGTGCTTTCTCAGACATTATCTATTTTGATCCTTATTTTTTGCAACACTTCTTAGGGAGGCATTATTACTTATCCTTCCTGAGTGGGAGTAAAGTTACTTGCCCTAGTTCTCACTGCATAGTATGTGGTTAAGGATTCAGAAATGTTCCACAGTCCAGGATTACAGTGCCTTTTCCACCAGTTGAAGAGGTAGGGGGCAATTGCCTTTTGGGTATCCAGTTAAATCACAGGGTTCTCTTTTCCAAGGTCAGGGGCAATAAAGCAATATCAGCTTCTCTGACACTGGATCAGATGTAAATCCTGGCCTTACTGCTTTCAAGCTGTAACTTGGAGGTAAGTTAAACAGTGATTTGAGGCTTCAGTTGGCTAGTCTGGAAGAAATAATGACACCTCTTTGATTTTTTTGTAAAGATTAAATGAGACAGTGCTTGCTGAAGGGACATAAGCATTCATGCTCCACACAGGGAAAATGATGCCCTGCTATTCATGAATCCTGCTTTGGCTTTGTGACTTTGAAGACTTAAGAGTCTTGGTTGTCAGAAGTGCAGAAAGAAAGTTTTTGTGGGGTAGGTGAGAAGGAAGAATGAGGATGTTAAAACCAAGGTAAAGAGGAAAGAGGAGAACTTATAGAAAGAGAAAGAGCCTGTAGCTACACATCCCATTGGACCTTTAGGCTGGCCCAAAGTGGGTGGGTGATGGGGGGAGGGAATGGAATGAAAACCAGAAAATCTGAGTTCTAGATTCTTTTGTTGCTAATTAAATAGTATGACTTTGGAAAGATTTCTCTCCTTGCTGAGCCTCAATTCACCATTTGAGAAACAAAGAAACAAAAAAAGGTCATCAAATAATCTGCTCTCTAAGGTTCCTGTAAGCCTTGATAGAAAGGACAAGATTCCATGTCTTTTTCATTACTCTAATAAAGTATCTGGATTTATAGAAGGACTGGCAGGAAAAATCAGGAGAAACAAAAATTTGATTATGGGGCTGAATGAATGAAAAATAATTATATAGTTGTAACTTTTGTTGAAAGTATTGATGAATCTTCAACATTTTGTTTTTCAGATATAAGGAAGCATTTTTAAAGCACTTTAGTAAATTATTATTTTTCTTTCTACCTGTCCCTCCAGAATTTGACAATTCTTTTATTCTTTTTTTTGACAATTCTTAATAAATGGCAATATGTTTCTTTGCATGAATTCAATAAGACTTATTTCCAATTGTGTCTATATTAACCAAGACTGTCACAATTAACCAATTGTGTCTATATTAACCATGATCAGATGCTGGATGTCACCAGGGAATGAAAGCTGATTTTGGAGCCAATATGAGTGCCTTGGAGTTAGTCTGGCACCTTGCTTGGTCACATGGATCCTGGCAGTCTTTCCAACTAAGGAACAAAGGTTGCTTTCCTGAGAGATGGCAAGGTAGGAACCTCAAGACATCATTGGGGACTTCAACCTGAAGGATTCATCCATCTATAGGTTTTGTAGGCAAACCTGATGGCAACTAGGTGGCTCAGTTTCTTTGCCCTACAAGGCTAATTAAAGCTTGTTAATGAGATTCCAGTAAAGCATATTTTTTAAAAATAGCCTATGTGATCAACTGTTATTCTATTGTGTTCATGTAAAAAATCAGGCAAAATTGTCCTTAAAAAATTGAGGGTGATTTGGGGGAGAAAAATTGTGTTTCAATAGGAAATTATTAGAACTGAAATGTCTTTTTCTTTCACCAGCCATTTATCATAATTTTTACTGTTCTTTTTAAAAAAATATATTTTATTGATTTTTTACAGAGAGGAAGGGAGAGAGATAGAGAGCTAGAAATGTCGATG